TGCCAGACATGTAAATCATATGCATTCGTATTATATCTGGTTCATCCTGGCAATTTGACAGTCCTGTCGTTACATACATGTTCCCTTGCTGTTTGATATAGTCCTGTGTATGTCTTTATTTATCGTTGTGTACCTCATATATTGTGTAATCATGCAACTTTTTTTGTTTGATTCCACGGATTTTTCTTTTTCATTTTGCCTTATACTTATGTATTTTGTGTATCTATTTTTGTAACCCATATATATGTCATTTGTAACTCTTCAAATTTGGAGGAATAAAGATATGAATGAATGAATGAATTGGACTGTGATACAGTTATATATACAAACGTAAGGTATGAACTGTGATTTGGTTATATACAAACGTAAGGTATGGGACTGTGATACAGTTATATACAAACGAAAGGTATGGGACTGTGATACAGTTATATATACAAACGTAAGGTATGGACTGTGATTCAGTTATATACAAACGTAAGGTATGGGACTGTGCTACAGTTATATACAAACGTAAGGTATTGGACTGTGATTCAGTTATATACAAACGTAAGGTATGGACTGTGATTCAGTTATATACAAACGTAAGGTGTGGGAGTGTGATACAATTCAATACAAACGAAAGGTATGGGACTGTGATACAGTTATATATACAAACGTAAGGTATGGACTGTGATTCAGTTATATACAAACATAAGGTATGGGACTGTGCTACAGTTATATACAAACGTAAGGTATTGGACTGTGATACAGTTATATATACAAACGTAAGGTATGGACTGTGATTTGGTTATATACAAACGTAAGGTATGGGACTGTGCTACAGTTATATACAAACGAAAGGTACGGGACTGTGATACAGTTATATATACAAACGTAAGGTATGGACTGTGATTTGGTTATATACAAACGTAAGGTATGGGACTGTGCTACAGTTATATTCAAACGTAAGGTATTGGACTGTGATACAGTATATTATACAAACGTAAGGTATGGGACTGTGATATAGTTATATACAAACGTAAGGTATGGGACTGTGATACAGTTATATAAAAACGTAAGGTATGGGAAGGTTACAGTTATATACAAACGTAAGGTATGGGACTGTGATACAGTTTATTATACAAACGTAAGGTATGGGGCTGTGATATAGTTATATACAAACGTAAGGTATGGGAATGTGATACAGTTATATAAAAACGTAAGGTATGGGAAGGTTACAGTTATATACAAACGTAAGGCATGGGACTGTGCTACAGTTATATACAAACGTAATGTATGGACTGTAGGTATGGGACTGTGATACAGTTATATACAAACGTAAGGTATGGACTGTGATTCAGTTATATACAAACGTAAGGTGTGGGACTGTGATACAGTTAAATACAAACGTAAGGTATGGACTGTGATTCAGTTATATACAAACGTAAGGTATGGGACCGTGCTACAGTTATATTCAAACGTAAGGTATTGGACTGTGATACAGTGTATTATACAAACGTAAGGTATGGGACTGTGATACAGTTTATTATACAAACGTAAGGTATGGGACTGGGATATAGTTATATACAAACGTAAGGTATGGGACTGTGCTACAGTTATATGTATAAACGTAAGGTATGGGAATGTGATACAGTTATATACAAACGTCAGGTATGTGACTGTGATACAGTTATATATATAAACGTAAGTTATGGGACTGTGCTACAGTTATATATATAAACGTAAGGTATGGGGCTGTGATACAGTTATATATATAAACGTAAGGTATGGGACTGTGCTACAGTTATATATAGGTATGGGACTGTGCTACAGTTATATACAAACGAAAGGTACGGGACTGTGATACAGTTATATATACAAACGTAAGGTATGGGACTGTGATACATTTATATATACAAACGTAAGGTATGGACTGTGATTCAGTTATATACAAACGTAAGGGGTGGGACTGTGATACAGTTAAATACAAACGTAAGGTATGGACTGTGATTCAGTTATATACAAACGTAAGGTGTGGGACTGTGATACAGTTAAATACAAACGTAAGGTATGGGACTGTGCTACAGTTATATGTATAAACGTAAGGTATGGGAATGTGATACAGTTATATACAAACGTCAGGTATGTGACTGTGATACAGTTATATATATAAACGTAAGTTATGGGACTGTGCTACAGTTATATATATAAACGTAAGTTATGGGGACTGTGATTCAGTTATATATATAAACGTAAGGTATGGGACGGTGCTACAGTTATATATATAAACGTAAGGTATGGGACTGTGCTACAGTTATATTCAAACGTAAGGTATTGGACTGGGATACAGTTTATTATACAAACGTAAGGTATGGACTGTGATTCAGTTATATACAAACATAAGGCATGGGACTGTGCTACAGTTATATACAAACGTAAGGTATTGGACTGTGATTCAGTTATATACAAACGTAAGGTATGGACTGTGATACAGTTATATATACAAACGCAAGGTATTGGACTGTGATACAGTTATATATACAAACGTAAGGTATAGACTGTGATACAGTTATATATACAAACGTCAGGAATGGGTCTGTGATTCACCTATATAAAAACATCAGGTATGGGACTGTAATACAGTTATATACAAACGTAAGGTATGGGACTATGATACACCTATATGCAAACGTAAGGTATGTTATATAAAAAACGTAAGGTATGTGACTGTGATACTGTTATATACAAACGTAAGGTATGGGAAGGTTACAGTTATATACAAACGTAAGGGATGGGACTGTGCTACAGTTATATACAAACGTACTGTATGGACTGTGATACAGTTATATATACAAACGGAAGGTATTGGACTGTGATACAGTTATATATATAAACGTAAGTTATGGGGACTGTCATACAGTTATATATATAAACGTAAGGTATGGGACTGTGCTACAGTTATATACAAACGTAATGTATGGACTGTGATACAGTTATATATACAAACGTAAGGTATAGACTGTGATACAGTTATATATACAAACGTCAGGAATGGGACTGTGATTCACCTATATAAAAACATCAGGTATGGGACTGTAATACAGTTATATACAAACGTAAGGTATGGGACTATGATACACCTATATGCAAACGTAAGGTATGGGAAGGTTACAGTTATATACACATGTAAGGTATGGGACTGTGATACACCTACATACAAACGTAAGGTATGGGACTGTGATACAGTTATATACAAACGTAAGGTATGGGACTGTGATATAATTATATACAAACGTCAGGTATGTGACTGTGATACAGTTATATACAAACGTCGGGTATGGGACTGTGATACAGTTATATACAAACGTAAGGCGTATAGGACTGTGATATAGCTATATACAAACGTAAGGTATGGGACTGTGATACAGTTATAAACAAACGTAAGGTATTGACTGTGATACAGTTGTATACAAACGTAAGGTATGGGAAGGTTACAGTTATATACAAACGTAAGGTTTCTATGTAGGTCCTTCCCTTGCTAATACTTTGCCATAGTTTAATGGATTTCGAGTTCAAATGATGGTTTTGTTGACACATATGTACTGTCTTGCTGATGTGTTTTAATGTAATAAGGCATTGAGGTGTGTATCAGAAAAAAAAATATTTCGCCGATATTTGAACATGTCTGTCTCGCACTTCTCCACTAAATGCTAAATGTAATATCAAAAAGTTATCTATAAACCTAGACTGTACGAAGTTTTACTGTCACACTGGCTTGAAACCAATATAAGTGTGGTTATGTGAAACACCAACAATCATTGTAAAATGGTCTGATAGCATATGTTACAGGTGTATACATGTAAAACCAAAACGAAAATTATATTAAATGTCCTTTTCGTGAACATTTAATGTTGTTATAAAAAGGCTAGACATACAATAAACATTTTAGCACTTTTCATTTGCAATGTTTTTAGCATTTTAGTCCATACAAAATGTTATTAAAGTGCGCTTGGGCTTCGTTTTCTTATTCACAATCCGCAAATATATATTTCTGTTTAATTCATCAGGATGATTTGAGTCCAGAAAGCATCTTCAGCGCCAATAAAAGATTATAAATGAACTTTAAATGATTTGTCAGTACGTTGCAATCGGTGGGTCTCAAAAGAGATTGACATAGCAAAATATCGATGAAATATTTGTATTAAGATATCAGCTTTAAAATCTTAGTATCAACTGATACAATGTCGCTATGAACCATTTCAACATTTAAGTACAAAAATAACATATCAAAATTACATATCTGAATTCTGATGATTAATTGGGGTCTTTTGACTTACGAGGGAGTAAATATTTTGGGTGAGTCTTCCAACTTTTAGGGGGTTTTGTTGTTGAATTTTAATGCCCATTGAATTCAATCTAAAAGAATACTTCGGAAATTGAATCAAAACAAAAGCAAGACATTGTTAACTTGTATAGTATACAGTAGGAGAAAGCAAAAGACAATCTCTGTAAACTTATGATCGTATAGCGACATTACGTCCATCGGTTCAGACCTAAATAAGAAATTATATTAGACTGAGAAAATTGTTAGATATTTTTCTGAATCACATAGTGCTTGAGTCATGACTTGTTAAACAATTTACTTTAAATGTACATTTGGTCATTTATAGCAAAGGTAAGTTATTCACACGTAATAAAAAAAAGCGTGCGGATGTAATTGTCTCGTGTATATTTCATGTAAGGCGATGGTTAAGTTTATTGATGCGTTAAAGCGCACGTGTTTGTCTATTTCACCTGTATTTTTCCTTTGAGTCGTGACAGACGACTTGTACCTGTAATCATTGTCCGGAAGTACGTATTACTAAAACAAACAGGTCGTCGGCCCGAAAGATGTAACCCGTCGTTAACGAAAATGTTTTCCTATCTTAAAGGTTCACTTAAAAATAAAAATAAAAATAAAAGTTTCTTGTTAAGTTACTATAAATTCCGTGTCGATTATCTTTACAACTAGTCATTGTCCTCTAGCCTACTAGCCCACCGATCCACAGCCGACAGTTCAGTTCTATAGGACGTAGCTGTACACCTCACAGTGAGTTTGGCTTTTAAATTCAATGTTTAATATCGGATCGTGATAAGCAATATTTAACTTCGATATTAACTTAGAAGAAGTGTTTTCATAATAATGACTATGAAGTGTCATGTTAAATAAGAAAACCTGTTTGGGTAACTGATATGATTAATGTAACATTTAAGATATTATTTATATAATTATACAGTTTGAGTTCCATTTTAGTTAAAATTTTGCAAATATTGATGTAATCATATTTTGGTTTCATGTTAAATAATAAGTTGTGTTTGTATACTTATATTTCTTCTGCTTAATGTTTGGTAAGATTTAATATTTGTACAATTAGGGAAAATGAATCTAAAGTTAGGTAAAACTTCATTTTTATACGTTTATTGATGTCTAATGATAACCTTTTTTCAACTTTTTTAATATGAATTATACATTTTAAATGTCCTGTATGGTTATAATTCGTGTGTTTATAGTATTTTAGTTATCATGTTGGTCAGAATAAGAGCATGTATAATTAAAATTTTCGAGTTCCGTGGCAAGATAGATTTATTGTCTGTAGAAGGATATATTTTCATCTGGTGTTAAGTTGGATTTCATCTTTGATAGTTAAGTATGTCTCCTGTAACGGAAGATTTAGTGTTTGTTTATTTAGTGTATATATGTTTTCTTAGTATCGCGTAAAATTAGATTTATATGATAATAATTTTTAATTTTCAATTTAAGTAAGATAAAGGGTTTGTTGAATTATAATGAGTCTCATGTCAGCTATGATTTGGTGTTTTTGTAGTGAATTGATTTATCATGAAAGGTAAATTTAGTGTTTGTACAAATCTTGTTTCTTGTTGTTAAGTAATTGTAGAGTCTGTGCACCTCTTGTGTTTCAAGCTAAGTAAATTAAGTGTCTGGGTGCTATCGTGATAAATACGATCGCGATGGATATACTGTCGTTATACGATCATAAGTTTCCAGAGATTGTCTTTTGCTTTTACCTACTGTATGCTATACAAGTTAAGTAGGTACTTATCAGGTAAATACGATGACAGCATGGTTAACAGACTAAAAAGTAAGGTAATGATCAACTCTCATTCAGATTGTGACAACCTTAGTGTTGGGAACACCTCAATTCACCTCCGATTTGTCGTGGGATATTTGTCAGATTTTCCCCCTAATGTGATCTCTGTTCCTAACATTATTTTGTTATCTTGTAGATATCTAACAGGATGCCGTCAGTTACACTTTTCCTAAAGCCCTTCCTTGTGCTGGGTCTCGTTTTCGGCTACAGTGCTGGTGGCATGAAAGGAGCAGGCGGTAAAGGGGGTACGTAATACTGTTATAAGGGGGTACGTAATACTATGATAAGGGGGTACGTAACACTATTATAATGGGGTACGGAACACTATTATAAGGGGGTACGTAACACTAGTATAAGGGAGTACGTAAAACTATTATAAGGGGGTACGTAACACTATTATAAGGGGATACGTAACACTATTATAATGGGGTACGCAACACTAGTATAAGGGGGTACGTAACACTAGTATAAGGGGGTACGTAACACTATTATAAGGTGGTACGTAACGCTATTATAAGGGGTTACGTAACACTATTACAAGGGGGTACGTAACACTATTATAAGGGGGTACATATGTACGTAACAATATTACAACGCTAGATCTAATTGGTTCATAAGAAACGCTGAATTCTGAATTTTAAAAAAAAACTTTGTTCTGTTTTCCTGGTATTTTTTAACGCATTTCTACCGATGTTTCTCATGTCACAAGGTGATCGACCTTATTGATGGACTTTTAGGCCCCGAGGTTGGCCGAAACCTTAAACTGGAATTTATTCCGATATGATTCGCAGTAACTACTAAATTTAATATGAATATTCTGTTTTAGCTGAGAGTAGTAACATGTTAACGCTACAGAACGTTTTATAGGCTCGTTACATTTTTGTGTATTTTTACACATGTTTCGGACCCCAGTGGATATGGTTTATTTCTTTTGTCATTAAGTACCTACAATGTATGTCGAGTCCTAAAGTTAAAAAAATGACCCTATGGTGGACTCATTTTGTTTGCTTTCATGTATCGACTTTATTTGTTATCATCAGAAATAGGTGCGTACTTACTTTGTTATCATCAGAAATAGGTGCGTACCTACTTTGTTATCATCAGAAATAGGTGCGTACTTACTTTGTTATGATCAGAAATAGGTGCGTACTTACTTTGTTTTCATCAGAAATAGGTGCGTACTTACTTTGTTAAGATCAGAAATAGGTGCGTACTTACTTTGTTATAATCAGAAATAGGTGCCTACTTACTTTGTTATCATCAGAAATAGGTGCGTACTTACTTTGTTATCATCAGAAATAGGTGCGTACTTACTTTATTATCATAAGAAATAGGTGCGTACTTACTTTGTATTCCAAGTGATTCACTGACTAGTCATAGTTACAGTATCTTTTTTTTAAATATTTCGTTTTAAAGGTATTACGTAAAAGAAAATAACTAACATGAGATTGCTGTTCAGGACGGAACACCACACCACATTAAGGCATTAAGAAATGCATGTACATCAGTATTTAAACACACTGAAAACAGACTCACATCTGTATAAGATACTCAATCCTATACCTATGAATATGAGAATCACCCATTATCTTCAGTCAACTATTTGCAGCATTATTTGGTTGGCCGGATGATTCCTGTATCCATTTCCCCTTCCGTTATGGATTAGGTTCATCTATCAAAGACAGGTGTGAAAAAGCAAAATGCAGGACGAACATTAGTATTCATATTAGATTTTATGCATAGCAAATTGATATCAGCAAGGAGAATTGGCAACAGAGAATACCTGTTTCCTTTTGCAGGTGCAAATGGTGGAGGAAAAGGTGCAGGCTCAGGCAAGTCTGGTATGGAGGGAAAAGCAGGAGAAGCTATGATGGGATCCGCCATGATGATGTCTTCTGGTAATGAGAACACAGATTGCTTTATGCGCTGCATTATGTAATCATACATTATGTTAATAGTTTCCCAAGTCGAACAATGACAAAGTCTTTTGAGAGTACGTTTACTAGTGTCAGCCGTGTCAAAAGATTACAAAGAAAATGCTTGATAACAAACTATAAAATGAATTAAAATCGTCTTTTCATTGCAGGCGGTATGGGAGGAGACATGATGGGCGGACAAGGTGTAATGGGTGGTATGGGCGGAATGATGGGCGGGGAAGGAGGCATGAGCGGTATGCCTGGTATGGGAATGGGCGGTATGGGTGGTATGATGGGCGGAAAAGGAGGCATGGGTGAAGGCATGGGTGGAGGAATGGGCGGAATGATGGGCGGAGAAGGAGGCATGAACGGTATGCCTGGTATGGGAATGGGTGGTATGATGGGAGGAAAAGGGAGCATGGGTGGTAAGATGGGAGGAAAAGGAGCTATGGGCGGCATGATGGGTGGTGCAGGTGGTATGGGCGGTATGATGGGCGGTATGCCTAGTATGGGAATGGGCGGCATGATGGGTGGTGCAGGGGGTATGGGCGGTATGATGAGCGGTATGCCTAGTATGGGAATGGGCGGTATGATGGGCGGTATGGGTGGTATGATGGGCGGAAAAGGAGGCATGGGCGGTATGAGTGGCATGGGAGGTATGATGGACGGAGGTATGGGTAGTATGATGGGCGGTAAGGGAATGGGAGGAATGGGTGGTATGGGTTCAGAAATGGGAGGCATGGGCTCCGGAATGGGAGGCATGGGTTCAGGAATGGGAGGCATGGGAGGTATGATGGGTGGTGAAGGAATGGGAGGTATGGGTGGTATGATGGGTGGTAAAGGAATGGGAGGTATGGGCTCAGGAATGGAAGGCATGGGCTCAGGAATGGGAGGCATGGGAGGTATGGGCTCAGGAATGGGAGGTAAGGGTGGTATGATGGGCGGTAAAGGAATGGGAGGTATGGGTTCAGGAATGGGAGGTATGGGTTCAGGAATGGAAAGTATGGGTGGTATGATGGGTGGTAAAGGAATGGGAGGTATGGGTTCAGGAATGGGGGGTATGGGTTCAGGAATGGGAGGCATGGGAGGTATGATGGGTGGTGAAGGAATGGGAGGTATGGGTGGTATGATGGGGGGTAAAGGAATGGGAGGTATGGGCTCAGTAATGGGAGGTAAGGGTGGTATGATGGGTGGTAAAGGAATGGGAGGTATGGGCTCAGGAATGGGAGGCATGGGTTCAGGAATGGGAGGTATGGGAGGTATGGGCTCAGGAATGGGAGGTATGGGCTCAGGAATGGGAGGTATGGGAGGTATGGGCTCAGGAATGGGAGGTATGGGCTCAGGAATGGGAAGTATGGGCGGAAAAGGAAGCGGAAGCAAGGGGATGGGTAAGTACATGACCTACGAAATACGGAACTAATCCAAGACTATCTATCTTATTTAAGCTACATATATGTAGTTATATACGCTTGTCAGTGATGAAAATCAGATATCCACAGGTAAAGGTTTTGTTCATCATGGCATTCTCCCGTATTGAGATGGCGTGCAAAACAGGGGAAATGATACGCATGAGAATGGTTTCTGAAATTATAAATCGGAATTACAATTTCCCGGATTAATTGAGTAATACAAACATAAAGAATGATTATTTCCATCTTCATTCTGAAATAACTTTTTTTTAATCCAGAAACTCAGTACAAAAAGAGCATAAGTTATGAAGTACATATGAGCGTTCGCGATAAGTCGTATAATACCATTCTCCATAGCGAGATTTTAAGCACATGCTTTTCCTTAAAATATAATTACAGAAAGATACACGTTGTCAATGCCAGGGTTTGTCCTGTGCTATCACCCATTCTATTGTGTATTCATCCGATTTGTATCTCGATAAAACATGTACATTTCAGGTGGTGGAAAGACCTACTAAACTATATACGAGAACTTTCGACGACGACGTCTAGAGGAGTGCGTACGACTCACTCCGTCTACACTACTAGCGGGCTTTCCTCTCAACGCCAAAGCTTACGGCGAGGATACATATTGTGTACACTGTGCATGAAGCTGCAGTAGAAACATTGTATATAAATTGTATCGATAAATACCTTGAACTTTAATCTTGTTGGGAACGTTTGCATTTCTTAATATGTACAATTGTATGTTGATTAATATTGTATATTTTATCCTGAAATAAATCATTAAGTAGTATTACCAGTGTTTGGAGTTGTCAATTTCTGTTGTTTTACAGGGTCTAGGGGTGAAGGAATGAGGGTTAATAGATCTAGAACAATGTTCTCTTTTATCAGATCGGGGAGAGAATGGACCAGTGTTTACATGGTTACAGCATTGCACTTTTTTCCACTGAAATTAACAAACTAAGGTTACAGAGCTTGTGTAATGCACTGCTTTACCAGGTTAAATTGTGAATGAATAAGCATTTACATTTGCCTATAACAAGAGCTATGTACTAATTTAGCAATTTGGTAACAACGAACTAGGGTTTACTGGCTAGATCAATGCAATGTTTTACCAGGTTTAGAAGTGAACGAAAGAGGTTTTATTGAACTTATGTGATGTACTGTTTTACCTGGCGTAGGTGATAAGGAAGTAAGGTATATATAATTATCTAGAGTTCTCCTCCGTTTTATAAGTTAGGAGGTGAACGAACAGGGTTTCACAGATTGTTTGATTTAATACACGATATACAATATTTAGGTGCGAAGGGATAAGGGTTTATATTGCTACAGCAGTGCACTGTTTCACCAAGTTTTGAAGATAATGAACGAGGTTTTGGGTTTATATTGCTACAAAAGTGCACTGGTTTACCAGGTTTTGAAGTTAATGAACGAGGTTTTGGGTTTATATTGCTAGAGCAGTGCATTGTTTCACCAGGTTTTGAAGATAATGAACGAGGTTTTGGGTTTATATTGCTACAAAAGTGCACTGGTTTACCAGGTTTTGAAGTTAATGAACGAGGATTTGGGTTTATATTGCTAGAGCAGTGCATTGTTTCACCAGGTTTTGAAGATAATGAACGAGGTTTTGGGTTTATATCGCTACAAAAGTGCACTGGTTTACCAGGTTTTGAAGTTAATGAACGAGGTTTTGGGTTTATATTGCTACAGTAGTGCACTGGTTTACCAGGTTTAGCAGTTAATGCACGAGATTATGGGTTTATATTGCTACAGCAGTGCACTGTTTAACCAGGTTTAGAAGTTAATGAACGAGGTTTTGGGTTAATATTGCTACAGCAGCGCATTGTTTAACCAGGTTTAAAAGTCAATGAACGAGGTTTTGGGTTTATATTGCTACAGCAGTGCACTGTTTCTCCAGGTTTAGAAGTTAATGAACGAGGTTTTGGGTTTATATTGCTACAGCAGTGCACTGTTTAACCAGATTAAGAAGTTAATGCACGAGGTTTTGGGTTTATATTGCTACAGCAGTGCAATGTTTAACCAGGTTAAGAAGTTAATGCACGAGGTTTTGGGTTTATATTGCTACAGCAGTGCACTGTTTAACCAGGTTTAGAAGTTAATGCACGAGGTTATGGGTTTATAATGCTACATCAGTGCACTGTTTAACCAGGTTTAGAAGTTAATGAACGAGGTTTTGGGTTTATATTGCTATAGCAGTACACTGGTTTACCAGATTTTGAAGTTAATGAACAAGGTTTTGGGTTTATATTGCTACAGCAGTGCACTGTTTAACCAGGTTTAGAAGTTAATGAATGAAGTTTTGGGTTTATATTGCTACAACAGTACACTGTTTAACTAGGTTTAGAAGTCAATGTACGAGGTTATGGGTTTATATTACTACAGCAGTGCACTGTTTAACCAGGTTTAGAGGTTAATTAACGAGGTTTTGGGTTTATATTGCTACAGCAGTGCACTGTTTAACCAGGTTTAGAAGTTAATGAACAAGGTTTTGGGTTTATATCGCTACAGCAGTGCACTGTTTCACCAGGTTTTGAAGTAAATGAACGAGGCTTTGGGTTTATATTGCTGCTACGGTGCACCGTTTAACTAGGCTTAGAAGTTAATGAACGAGGTTTTGGGTTTATATTGCTACAGCAGTGCATCGTTTTCAAGGTTTTGAAGTTAATGAACGAGGTGTTACAGAGCTTGGGTAATTCACTGTTTTATAAGTTATACATGCGAAGAAATTGTTTCTATAGCTAGAGCAATGCTCTATTTTACCAAGTTTAGGATTGAATTCTATAGAGCTTGGGTAATTCACTGTTTTAATAGGTCTATGGGTGAATGCACTACGATTGCTTTGTGAAATGTACTTCTATATCAGGATATGAGGTGAACGAACTAGATTTTATCAAACTAGAGTAAAACACTCTTCACCAGGTTCAAGTATGAAGAAATGAGATATTACAGGGCTAGTTCAATGTAGTTTTACTAGACTTGGGAAAGGGTTAATGTACGGTCTACCAGGCTGTGGGAGTGAACTTACTTGGGTGTACATGGAAAATGTAAATTAAGGAGCAAGTGCACTAGAGATTATGAATCTTTAAATCTTGAAAAAATGCACTGTTTAATTTTGGATGAATTAACAACTTTATATAAAGCTAGTGCAATACACTCGGCCAAAGAAACTATTGAAACAGAAGATGCATACGGTCAGGTGCAATCAGAACCTTTTTGTAAAAAACAATTTTAATTAATTTACATGTTGTTTTATGCTAAAAGACATTAAGAGCTCAAAAATTACATTCGCGGGATCACGCTGTAAATTAAATGATATAAAGTTTATTTCATTTGATAGCATGCCTACATTTTTGGTTGCAATGCCTCTCCCATATTTTCTAACATACTGACCAATTGAACTTTCTCTTTATTAATAGTAACTACCCCACTCCTCTTACCTATGGTGTTCACATGTCACTGCTGATTCGGCATTCAGGGAATTGCTAACGATAATGATTTTCGTGATATTAGTCGACTGCTGACGGACAAATATTTAAATCCCAGAGTTACTAGAGAGGCAAGTTGATTAAGACCTTTGACAAGTTTTATGGTAATCAATATGATTTCATTGGGAAATCTGCTTTTTCTTTGTTTATTATGAAGCCGACGTTTCTAAGTGTGCTGATGAATATGCCTTTTTTTCCCCTTGTCACTATAGTTATATCTTGAAGGTAGTGAAATTACTTCGATTTGAGCATAAAATTTACATGTTTTTGTGCAACTTATATTAATCCTCTGGAAGAGCTTTTCATAAAAAGGGACTCATCAGAATTGTTGACATGTATCCAAATATCGTTTTTGTAACCATATTAATTACCCCATCAAGTAGCGAAATGTCATCCCCTTGGAAATATCCCGCTTAATGGGTTGCATACATTTTTGACATACGAATCATTTTAAGAAAATTGAGCAATTTGATCTATAAAAAGCATATATATCTATCTATATAAATATGGGGCAAAGAAGTACATTGTAATTCCAACAGTGTGGACAAGATGGAATTACTTCTTTGCCCCATATACTATTTTAAGTAATTCGTATCCTACGGACATACCTCCATTAGGATCCAGTGTTATATGGGATTTTACCGTCTATATTACTTCTTTGACCCATATCTATATAAATAGTTATACTTAATTAACGAAAATTGTCAAAATATCATAAAAACAAGATTACCGCGGGGCGGAACAAAATACGCCCGTCGAATGCCATATAGTATTATTTGCTTTTTTACATTGAAATAAGATCTGCATCATTCTAAGAGTGGTTAGCTGGTATGCTATAAAAAAGTAGGAGAAAATCTTCAGACAAAAAATCAAATACTGAAATGAACAGAAGGCAATACATTTTGTAAAAATTGTTGAATCAAAATTCTTTTAGAAGGGGACACAACTTCATATCATGATTACCATGTATACTAAGTTTCAAAGAGATCCGTTGAAAAATGTAGGCGGAGATTTCCGGACAAAAATCAAATACTGAAATGAACAAAGGGCAATTACTTTTGGAAAAATTGTGGAATCTAAAATTCTTTTAAGGGAGACACAACTTCATATCATGAGTATAACGTATACCAAGTTTCAAAAAGATCGGTTGAAAAATGTAGGAGGAGATCTCCGAACAAAAATCAAATACTTAAATGAACAAAGGGCAATGACTTTTGAAAAAATTGTCGGTCAAAAAATGTAGGAGGAGATTGCCGGACCAACAAAGTTTATGCTGGATGGCCGGACCGACGGATGGACAACGCCATACCTCAATACTACCGTCAAATTTGACGGTTGTATAATTAAGCTTTTATACTTTAAATGAAAATTTCTCTTACACTTAAAAAGTCATATGGTTCAAATTACCTACAACTGCTTAGAGTTTACGCCTATCCTGTGTGTGAATTGTTTATTCTGATTTACGTTAAGAAAATTTCCTGATCTAACTGCAATCTATAATTACTTGCTTTGTCAGCATGAATGGGTGAATTATTTGAACTATAACTGGAGAGATTTTATTTTCATGTACGAAAAAAAAATGCAAAAATCTGTTTTGCGTTTAAAAGCATATTTATTATTCATGATCTTTGGTTCAATAATCAACCTGAAAACAAATAACTTTTTGTCCTGTATGGCCATTTTATAGCTTCGATAACACACAGTCAACAAATACTAGTTGTGAAGTAAAGACGTTTCATTTGTTCATCATGTACACATACCATGCACATTTCTAGTGTTATACAAAACAGTGTTTTCGCAATTCTGATGAACTTGGAATGTTGTTTCTATTAAACGGAAGATTTTTCGTAATAATAGAGTCTTTTCAAGCCTGTCTTATGACTAGAAATAATGGAGACTTAATAGTGTATCCAAGGCAAGTATGTACAGCTGTAAGCTATTCCACCAAGATAAATTATAAATTAATACAACCATTTCATTAACGCTACCAAGCACACCCCAGTAGTATTCCCACTAACAATTTAGGATGACATAGACTTGCTTAATATGTTTTAAACATTTAACCTGGCATCAGATTCCTCATTACAATTTCATAAGTGAGCATAACGGTTGACAAATATGATTTTCATTCGTCTTCAAACAGCATTTTCACCAACTCTCCATTAGCACACTGTCCTTCTTCTAGTCTGTTAGGCTGAAAAGAGGAGATAATCACAACTTTAAACATGCAGTACAAGTTGTGGAAATGGAAGGACAACCAAACACTTCCTTCCAAGAAGACACGAAAATAGTGCTTAAACATAACTTAAACCAGGTCCACTATTCCGTCTTTTCGTATTGCAGAGTTATCTTCTCTTGTGAGCAGGTATTGATTGTTACGTCATTTGTTTGTGAGAGCAACGTCATCAATTTTTGAGAAAATGACGTAATTTCTCACACAAACCAATGAGTAACAATCAATACCTGCTCACAAGAGAAGATAACTCTGCAGAATGTAAGAACTCATATATCGTGTACAGACCCCTGACATTACTAGGGCTGTAACAGTAACACAAACTAGAGATTTGTTCAACAAACAAAAGCTTTCAGTATGTCTCCCCATTAATATCAGTCAATCTATGCATATTTACTTTGAACTTATTTCTTCCTAAGGTACCTTTAGCCCAGAGGTGAATGTCTTAGTGACCTTTATATAATGTAATGCACACTTTCTCTTGATGATGCAGGTATTGTTTAGGTTTCATCAAAATATTTTCAATGGTTTAAAATCTACAGTTCTAACAAGATTTGACTGAAAATTTTGCACTTATATGACCTTTGACCTTGAAGTGAAGGTTATGGTAACCTAACAACTGCACACCTCCTAAGGATGATGCAGGTATCATTCAGGTTTCATAAAAATATTTTCTAGCAGTTTAAACTTAAATGCCCTGCCAAGTGTTTACTTGAAAGTATATACTTATTTGACTTTGAACTAAATCACTGCATACTGCATACCCTCAGTGGGTGGTCCAGGTAAACTTCAAGTTTCATCAAGATACATCTTTTACAGTTTAGACCTGCTCTGCAATTACATGCTATGTGTATAGTATCCATTTAGACTAATGTAAACAAACAGATTTCTGTTGTTGCTATCTGTAACAAATTGTATATAAAATGTTGAAATGTAAAAAAAAAAAAAAAAAAAATGATTTATTTCTTGAAGGTTTTGAAATTTGAAATGAGAAAACATACTATACCTCTAGTAGGTGGTTAGTGAAAATATTAAGACCAGTTGCTTATACCATAAACAGACTTTGATATGAGGATTGCCCCTCTTGGCAAAAATTCCAAATAATTTTAAAACAAAAGTATGCTTCAAACATTAACCAAGGGCAATAACTCTGTATAGAGAGCGATGCATAACTAACTTACAGTATGCAACGCTCTATCATCTACCTAGGTGATACAGCTCTGTGGAAAAAATCTTTAGTATGATGGGCTGTAACTTCATCTTATTTGACAAGTTTCCGTGAATGTAGAAAGGAAGATATGGTCTGGAAAAAATCTTGTTGATGCCCAGCTAGCCAGCAAGACAATGCCATACCATTATGAACACCAATAAACATTCTGTCATAGACAGGCGTATAACACTCCTAGCCTTGATTTAACATTCAACAAAGCAGTGTGTACTGTATGTACATATTACATACCTTTCCAACTATCATCAAAGTAGGAACACACTTCAGTTTCAACTTTGGGTTTGTTCTGAAATCATTTTTCTGATCTTTCCAACTGAAAACAAATATAACCAATATTTAGCGTAAGTTAGGCACAGCAATTACTTACACTTAGTTAAATAACTTAAAGCAAATATCCACTTTTAAAATATTTTTCAAGAATATGTTTTGTAAAATTCATGTCAGATTTCTGATAATTCTGATAATTTTGAATACTTAAATCTTGTTATTCCTCAGGTGTTTTTTAATAATAAAAACAATTTCAAAACATTTGAAAATATTCTTACAGCTAGGCTAACATTTTTATAAAGCTATCACTTACTTTTTGATGAGATGAAAAATGGAACATTACTATAAAAAAATCTTATAAAACCCATTGTAGATGTATTTACTAGAACACCATTTTACTTATAAGAAATTATTTTGTGGAGCTAATATGGGTAATGAACACCTAAAACATCAGTCATAGCTTCCGTCTTTTGACTAATGTTGTGAATTCAAACACAGTTAAACAATTTGAATATAAATCAGATGAACACTGGCAAAACCAAGCACAGAAAACAGTTTTAAAGACTAAATCTATGTATCTATGTATCTTAAACATGTAAAACATTGTCAATTAAGCAAGTCATTTAATTAAAAATAATAAGAATTGACCCAACCGTCAACAAAGATAGAATAAATCCTAACCCTAAATTGATATATAAACCAGAATGGCAGACACAACAAAATAAATAAGAAACACATCATCAACCCCCACAAAAAAACAGGAAGAAGAAACCATGTGCTCTGATATGATAAATGTTTCCAAAAAAAACTGGCACCTATTATCATATTTCCTATGGAATTATAAAAAGCGTTCAGAACACAAAGAATCACATCGTCAGGGATATTTTATACCAATGTACATGTATCTTAAGTGATGAATTTACACATTTTTCGAAAATATGTTACTTTCTAATTCAAATATTTTATTTTCAAGACAATCTACAGACAACCAGGTTTTGAGCCCTGAAACCATTCCACTTACATCATGAATACCTTTTGCAAAAGGAAAACTATAAGTTTAAAATTTGAGTGAAAGAAAATTAACAACATCAATCAACAATATTAAAAATGACCTTAATTAGCTGTTGATAGGATGTTTATAACCCTTTTCAACCAACTTGATTAAAAGGTGTACTCCAATAGTATGGCAACAATACTTTTCTTATTTGATATTTGTATACAATTAAATATTTGATGCTAAATAGATTTCTTTTATTGAAAAACAAATTCTAAAACCTTAAAATGTTGTATCGATTTTGTCACCGAACAAACTGAATTTTGATGAAAGACTACGATTTTAACTTACTAATCCCTATTTCCCACTCCACAGTGGATAAAGACAGCATCCTCTGCGGCATGTTTCACATTACTCGATACCACTGGATCAGCTAGATAAGTAAAAAACATTTAACACATATACATACTTGCAAGCAAATATACATTTTTAGCATCATCCACATGATTTTCTTCAGACGTTTTTATAGTATGCTACGTATACAGAGTTGTATTAATATCTTAATTATGTTGGTTTCCTTTCTGTTATCTAACAATTGTTTCATTTTGCAATATTTGGAACAGAATATAACTTGAGCGAACTCTAAATAAAAAAGACTTTGCAGATTTTGATATGGCCAGTCAAAATTATTTTTGTTTTTCCTCATTAAGGTCTCAAAAGATCAGGACCTGTATCCATGAAACCGCTCTCATGCTCAAGCATCGATTCTGTGTTCAAGGGAACTTTCTTTTAACACATTTAAATCATGTGATACGGTCAATAAGTCCTGTGTAGCCATTCAAAACAATATTCGGTTTGAAGTCTCTTCCTTAACAAAATGTCTTTTATTCTTAATGTATCACTGGAACAAGAAAGTCGTGGGCCAGATTGAGCACAGAGTCCAAGTTTTAGTAATTGAGAATGGTTTCATGAAAACAAGCCCGGGACTTATACAAATGTATTGATATTTATTCAGATAGATAAGTAAAACTGTTTTACAGGTTGCGTTTCTACATAAACACTACTTGGTTTATATTAGCCAAACATGATTTAGTGTAACATAGAAACATCAGTATAGGGAAATTAAGAGGAAACACAGACTTTTTGTGTGGCCTCATTTAATCAATTATTTAGGTCTATTTCAATCATTTTTGGTAATACTCAAGGATAATATAGTGCTCATAAGGATTGAAGGTGTACATTTCACTGTACTGCTTCATCAACTGGCATAAGAATTCACATTTGCAATCAAAACTTAGGCCAACATTTTTTTTACTTGTGTTTTAGCTATCATCCTTAGGTGGGTAGGCGTTTTTTTCATATTTTGGGAAATAATTTTACTTTGCTTATATAGAGCAGGAGTTCTGACTTTAACAATGCATATCACTAAATGCCAACAAAAACTTTAGGATAAGCACAAAAATCTAGGATAGGTAGGGTTAGTGGAAACACAATTTTTTTTTATTTGGCCTTATATTAGCATGATACAACTAATTAATTAATTAAGTATTGTTACCTGATTTGGTTGAAATTGATTAATTTCTGGGTCAGAGTTTGAATATGCATACCAATTAACCAATCAAAATAATGAAACCTCATTAATTATGTGAAATATAAAAGTATCAAATTGGCCATCAAATTTAGATTGAGACATGCCATTATGCATGTGTAAACCTAATTAGGTTGAAAGTGGACTGTTCTTTATGCAGTTACTACATGGAAACACATTTATACCCTATCAGAATCAAGTTATGAAGTAGCCTCATGCATTATCCTAAATTTACACTCACAACATTTGCAATCAAATTTAGCATGAGTCTTGTCTTGCCATTTATGTAGGTGAATACAAAATTTAGTTCAATTTGAATTGAACTAAATTTTGTATTCACCTACATAATGTGATATTTTTTTTTAAATAAATTAATTAGTTCATTTAAATAACAACACTAATTTAAAACCCATTTTCATTTGTTTCATCAATTTGATGCAAGGCTGTGGGTTTAAACAGGTCGAGTACACCCTGTCGATTACGTCCAATAGCTGTAAAGACCTATACTATCTTGTACTGTACATTTGTACCAGTCTGACCACTTTTGAGCTATTTTCACAAAATAAATCTAAAAGAAAATGACACAGAGTCGCATATAAAAGAAGATTTTAACACTATTTTAATTAAAAGACATTAAATAATTAAAGAAACAGCCATTGTTTTAACAACTTTACGATGGATGAGCTAATCATAAGCTGACAGTGGTCAGTCATGCAAACCGAAAGTAGTGGAATTTGGTTCTCAAATGAGAGTAACCTCCCCTGGACAACATCTGACACCTACCAGTAACACAGTCGGGACACCAGTTTTTGCCATTTTCGTCCACTGAACCGGAAAACAATGCAAATATCTTTTTGCCTACGTAATCCTTAGCAACCTCTTCGAACTTCGCTATCCCCTCAACATGTACCTGTATCACCATCTCTGAAATGTAAGTGTACAACGACTGAATTGCAATACGTCCGCCAACTCCCACCTATTATTTACTTCCGGCCCATCTAAAAGTTTTATGAAAACACGGAAAATAAATATCCGGCGGACACTGAATGCAAAGACTTGCAGCGAAACAATAATTTGAGATTTCTATCACATCTTTATTGGTGAAATATAAGATTTTACGGTAAAACCAAAAACTTATACAAATGATTATATAAGTTGTATCCTTATTTATTTCCAGTACCGTGCACTGTTTGCACTTGACATGTAAGAAGGGCAAGTTAACGGCAAGTTGCCATTAAGTGCAAAATATTCAACAAATTCATGCTTTACTTTAGTAACTGATATTCATTAATACATCAATTCTATTCTCTACGTATTGAATGCTTATATATAGATATATGTTTATAGTATGTGTTTGTGTGTGTACAATCTTGATAACAGGGGTGTATAGATTATATCATCGTCGGAAACCTGCCACGTTCGATTGTACTAGCGTTTAATTATCTGGGAGTATTCACATGTGATTTAATGTGCGTATCATGCAAACTTACATTAGCTTACACATGCCGAAATCGTTCTCATTCTCAAGCATGGATTCTGTGCTCAAACTAGCTGTCTTGTAGCTAGCTGACTCACTTGTAAACATTGAAAGCAGTATTCATTTTTTGGTAATATTTAACAAAATAAGTTTCTTTTCTTAATTGATTACTGGCGGTACAAAATAAATATTAGGCTGGCGCTCAACATTTTGGCTTGAGCATCATAACGGTTTCATGAATACGGGCCCAGGGCTATTTTTTTGTTCCGCTTATGAATTAATGATAAACTGTTTATTTTGTCAATGATCTAAAGGGTCTAGATCTATTATTGGCATTGTCTGGGACAACAAACATTTTCCGATGATGATTTGGGGTAAGAATGTTTTCGCGGACTCTTAGAGTGTGCCAATGCCACTTGCTACTTATATATATAATTACTTTGAGAAAAGTGAAATGTTGATCGTCACTGTTATTAAGTGTTATCATGAGATATCATTTTCTTATTTGATATTTGATAAAACAAGAGTTATGCAAGCTCTTCACAGTTCTGTTATTAAAGAGAGAGACAGAGATATGTTCCTTCATTGCTGCAACGCCATATACAATGTATATACAGTGACGTGCACACGTGCTATACATTTTGTACGTCTTTCATGTTTTATCATTTTACCAATTGATTCTATATTAATTTACTTATGAAAATATTTTGTTCTTTACTTTGCTTTACGTCTAATAGTGATGGAATTTGGCACACGGTTACGGCAAAATTTAAAAATTTAGCAGTGTGTCTACGGGAATGACGTCAAAGTAGGACTTTTGTACTTTCATGCTGAAATGAAAAGTAATATTTCAATTACAGCGCCACGGGTAATAACCAAAGCAAACAAAAATAAAAAATAAAAATAAAAAAACCACACTGAATAATACTCTAACAGAATGTTAAGTTTTATCTAAATTGGTTCTCAACAAACGTAACGATTAAAAAAAAAAGAGAAGTCAATTAGCATAAAATCCAATGAGGAAATGACGTAACGTGAAATAATTTGAACCCGTCATTATATATACAATGTATGTGCACTTTACTGTCGACTAATTCAACTGCTCTTGCATTTAAATACCGACTTTTGACAGTCTTTTCTCACAGACTAAACAGGGTGTTCTCGTTGTTGCTAGGGAAAAGATAACTCTTTCTCACATACTTCAAGCCGAGGGTCTTTTGCTCAATATTTTATCCCGAGGGTTTGAATAACCTTATCCATACCTCACATCAGGGTTGGATTCTATTATTCTCTTACCCTGGACAGGGATATCCACCATTTTACCGGTGTGAGATTTTCTTATCTCACCCTAGGGTTGAGACAAGCAACACGTGCTCTTTGCACGTTCTCAACAATTGTATGACGTCATAGCAACAATACCATGACGTCACGGCAACAATACAATGACGTCATGTCGACAATTCAATCGCATCATATCAGCATCGTCTTGCATTGATGTAACGGCAATATTAGATAGATAAGAGGGTAAACAGGGTAAGAGAAAAATAATCATTCACCCTCTTGGGAGTGAGACAGGGGATCTCAACCCTCGGGGGAAGATTCTTAAGCTGTCAAACACTCGGCAAGCCTCGTGTTTGGCAATTTAAGAATCTTACCCCTCGGCTTGAGATCACCCTGTGTCACCCCCAAGGGGGTGAAATATTCTATTATTCTCCCACACCTGACAGATTTATCTCCCGTTTTGCCGGTGCTAGATTTATCTGTCTCCGCCCTAGGGTTGAGACGGGGGGATTCCCCTATTTATAACAATGGTATGACGTCACTGCAACAATACAATGCCGTCACGTCAACAATCCATCAACGTCACGTCAACCCTGAATTTAGCATGTAACGTTATCATTACATTGTGTATATGATACACATTGGGGAAAACAGGGTACATGTAAGAGAAAAAGAATCATTCACCCCCTTGTGGGTAAGATAGGGGAATCTCAACCCTCGGGGAAAGATTCTTAAGTTGCCAAACACTCGGCAAAGCCTCGTGTTTGGCAACATAAGAATCTTCGCCCTCGGGTTGAAATTCCCCTATCTCACCCCAAAGGGGGTGAATGATTCTATTAGTCTCACCCTAGAGTTGAGACGGGGGGATTCCCCTTTTCATAACAATGGCATGACGTCACTTCAACAATACATGACGTCACGTCAACAATCCATCAACGTCACGTCAACCCTGAATTTAGCATGTAACGTTATCATTACGTTGTGTAAATGATACAAAATGGGAGAACAGGGTAAGAGAAAAAGAATCATTCACCCCCTTGTGGGTGAGATAGGGGAATCTCAACCCTCGGGGAAAGATTCTTAAGTATCGTGTTTGGCAACTTAATAATCCTCCACCTCGGGTTGAGATTCTCCTATCTCACCCCCAAGGGGGTGAAAGATTCTATTAATCTGACACGGGGTAGGGAAAGACAGCTGACACGCGCTATGACGTCATAATAATGGATTGTCGACGTGACGTCATTTTATTGTTTCCGTGATATTATACAATTGTTGTGAATGGGGAATCCTCCGTCTCAACCCTAGGGCTTTGGGGTTTGCCGGAAGAATGAGATCGATGTTTATTCCGACTGGAATTTGTTTATTTGTATGTATGTGAGAAAAATAATCAAACATCTCAACCCTCGTGTAAGAGTTTGGCTGGCCAGCACCCTGTCCACGGAACAGACCCATGTAAGTTCCCATTGATCGTTTATAGGAAATGCACTGGTTTGGTTATGGATTGCTATTTATCATATACACCTGGTCACAGATGTGTGTAAATGAGCGTAAACAATCTGGTATCTTGTTACCAGTGCGCATGCACGTCTCGAATATGCACGTGACGAATTTGACGCCAACGAAATTAATTTCCTATTTCGAGTTTTATTTTAAATGTATCTTTTAGGTAGGGCTGATACAACATACTCTGGAAGTGTGTTTCATAAATTTCCTACTAATAGAGAACAGAAGATTTTCCTTATTGTCGTGTTTGAATGAGCCTCGGTACCATGTCTCTCGTAAAAGTCCAGTCAAACTTTTAAGGAAATCGAATATTTTTCAATCGTAGACACTGCCGTTATCTTGAATACTTCTATAGCATCACCTCTTGTACGTCTATAACTTAAAGTAGGTAAATCTAGACCTTTAAGCCGCTCCGAATAGGATCACAGGTTCCTGAAATAGGTATTTATTTGGCTGTTCTATGAACTAAACATTATATGGGTACCGTAGCATACCGTGTGTGGATATTTGAATAAATTCTTACAAATGTTATATATGAGTGGGAAACAGCATGCATTCATTCAAATACGTTTGTATTGAACATTTTGTCGTACATTGTATGACAGCGAACATGGTTAACGTAACCACTTATTTGGCCTTTAAACGCCAAGGACAATGTCTACAGTCATTCAAACACCTTTTTCATGGCATACTCTTCTAGTGGTTCATTTGTAAAGTAATATGGCTTAAATATGCTCGTTCCCTGAATTAAAGACCGATGTGCATGGATTTTTTTTAGAGGATGGAATCTCAAAAAACGTTTGTCGCCCGTTCTCTGCACACCTGGAATATGTCATAGCAAAATCGAAGGCTTAGTGTGCGTCATCTTGATGAGACGAGGAGACTAGGTACATCAAAAGAATATCGCGGTCGCGTAACGGTAAAATTGACTGGCTTTGAAGTCGGGTTTCGCTCATCTGTAATCTTCAAAGGACAGGTATGAAGCCTAGCGAGTCTTTTAATATATTTTTGTATAGTGATTATATCATTTTGTAAATTTTGCAGCATCAGCCAATGGTAGCCGGTAGAGATGATACAGATGAACAGAACTGGTCCCATGGCGGATCCTTGTGGGCTCCCTATAATACCCCAGTCCAATTTATATTTTCCGTATAAAAGGCATTTTGAAAGTCCATTACAATGCAAATACCATGTGAATTATGTAAATGCATCTTGTGTTTATTTATCTTAGTCATCACTGTGCTGTAGGTTAGATGCTCATATCCGTTCGACTCATTTCTTCTTCCACGATCTCTCGTACTCTTTCTTCGTCATATATTGAGTTTTTCTTGGCTTCTGATTAGTTTTCTTGCATTTTTTGTAAAGCTTTTCTTAACACCCCAATTCTATGTTCTTGTCCGTATCAATGCTCCTTTTCTACATGCACTGTGCATTTAGTACAGAACAACATAAAAGGTGCTTGGCTCAGAGCTATGTTGTCTGCGTGCGGGCATTGTAATCATGCCGCATTCACCACTTTTGCAGTTAGAGTCAGTGAGTGATCGGTTACAGGGACATCATCTTTCCATTTTACGATAATTACTAGGAACAAGAAGTAAAGAAGCAACTTCTCTTAAAACAAACAGCACAAGATCGATGAAGAAAGCCAATAAGAGTAAATATTTTGCTGCGCCATATGGTCACCCTGTCTATTAGATTGCAATCCTGTCCCGTGCTGGTGTTTCGATTCCGTT